TGTGCTCCAGCAGGAACCAGAACCAGAACCATGTTTCTAGAGTTCAAACTGCTTCCTTCCAAGTGGAGTTCTGGTTCTGTTCTACTTCTCTGGCTCATCCCTTGAGTTAGGACAGGGGTAGGCAACCCACAGTCCTGCTTGTTTTCCAGCCTTGTTGTTCCTGCTGTGGATTACCTGGATCAGGTGAGTCCAGCCAATCAGAAGCTGCAAGTCCATGCGTGGCTGGGAAACATGCAGGCCTGCAGCTCTCAGGGTGGCCTACCCCGGAGCTAGCAGCTTATCCAGGGTTGCTCTACATGTTCTTCAGGACCAGCTGATCTTGAATTTAGAGATCTAAATCGGTCCTGGTCCTTGGAACAGGAACCGGAGCGTCTCTGGGTTGAACCAGCTGCTCCAGACGGTCTGCAGAACTGATCCAGAACTCGTCTAACAGGTTGAGCAGATTCTCCATCTTTCTGTTTTCCAGGTGATGGAGGAAATGACGTCAGCATGATCCAGGCTGCAGACTGTGGGATTGGGATAGAAGGAAAGGTAAATTTCCTGCTGGGTTATTCCCGCTGCGGTATTCCCGCTCAGCTCCGTGTCTTTTGTTCACCAGGAGGGGAAGCAGGCGTCGCTGGCTGCAGACTTCTCCATCACCCAGTTCAGACACATCGGACGGCTCCTGATGGTCCACGGCAGGAACAGCTACAAGCGCTCGGCGGCGCTGGGTCAGTTCGTCATGCACAGAGGGATGATCATCTCCACCATGCAGGTACCAGACTTCCCGAGCAGAACCAGCTGGCTGTTCCGCTCGGAACCTTCACGCCTGATCCCGGCTTCGCTCTTCTTCTCAGGCCGTTTTTTCCTCCATCTTCTACTTTGCTTCTGTTCCGCTGTACCAGGGTTTCCTCATGGTCGGGTACGTAGACTCGGAACCAGAACCGGATCGTGTGTGTAGTTTTAATTGGGTAGGAACCTGCTGGAAGCTGAGAGTCGGACAGGAACGTCGGACATGGAGACACTGGAAGTCTGCGGCTGATGGGAGGAAGAACATCAAAGTTCCAGGAATAGACACAAGATCTTTAGTTCAGGATGAGACCTGGAATGTCAGCTGGTCCTGATGGTGCCCAGCTTCTCGTTCCCAAGACACTTTCAAAATAAAAGCATGAATCACATTTAACCAGAGACTAAAAACATGAAGCACATTTAGAACGTTTTAATTCACCACTAGTGTGACTGTTGTGAGAATTCCAGACAGGTCTGGTTCTGTTTCAGGTATGCCACCATCTACACCATGTTCCCCGTGTTCTCCCTGGTTCTGGACCAAGACGTGAAGCCGGAGATGGCTCTCCTGTACCCAGAGCTTTATAAGGACCTGACAAAGGTCCGACATCCGAGTTTAGATCCCAGCTCCTGGTTCTGCTGGACTCTGGACTCACTCGGGGTGTTTGTGTGTTTCAGGGCCGGTCCTTGTCCTTCAAGACTTTCCTGATCTGGGTTCTGATCAGTGTCTACCAAGGTAAGAAGGTTCCCTCACCTCCATCAACAACTCCTGACCTCTCCGTCGGAGCGTTTCTCAGTATCTAAGGTTTCCAGCCAGCGTGCACGCTCACACGCAGCCTTTTGTCCGTCCAGTAAATCGATATTTGTGTAGTCGCTAAGCCGTGCAGCGTGTGAGAAAGATCCGTGTTCCTGCTGGAGCGTGACTTCCTGACAGCTTCGGATTTTTAATTAAAGGCCAAAAAATGTCCGAGGAAGAAAAGAAGAATCAACATTAAGATGGGGGGGGGGGGTATTAGGCAGCAAGCCGGCTCAATTATTACAGAGATTGGGTCGCAGGAATGTTCTGCTTGAAGACTGTATGAAGCAGTAATTATGAGATCAGTTAAAGCTTCTAGGCTCTGTTTGTGTTTCGTTATGATAAAACCAGAGGGTCGGAATCCTGAAGGCGCCCGAAGATGAGTGATGGTCTGGGCGGGTTTCAGCTCGTCTTTTATCCTCAGAAATAAAAATCTTATCTCCAGACACCTTAATCCTACTTTAGCCTGGGTCTAGGCACGCTTTTATTCTGAAAAGGCCTACTCTTAAATCCTACTTTAGTCTGGATTCAGGCACACTTTTATTCTGAAAGGGCCTACTCTTTAATCCTACTTTAGTCTGGATCCAGGCACGCTTTTATTCTGAAAGGACCTTCTCAAGAATTTTAATTTAGTCTGGATCCAGGCACGCTTTTATTCTGAAAGGGCCTTCTCAAGAATCTTTAGTCTGGATCCAGGCACGCTTTTATTCTGAAAGAGCCTATTCCTTAATCCTACTTTAATCTGGGTCCAGGCACACTTTTGTTCTGAAAGGGCCTTGTCAAGAATCTTACTTTAGTCTGGATCCAGGCACGCTTTTATTCTGAAAGGGCCTTCTCAAGAATCTTTAGTCTGGATCCAGGCACGCTTTTATTCTGAAAGAGCCTATTCCTTAATCCTACTTTAATCTGGGTCCAGGCACACTTTTGTTCTGAAAGGGCCTTGTCAAGAATCTTACTTTAGTCTGGATCCAGGCACGCTTTTATTCTGAAAGAGCCTATTCCTTAATCCTACTTTAGTCTGGATCCAGGCACGCTTTTATTCTGAAAGGGCCTTCTCAAGAATCTTACTTTAGTCTGGATCCAGGCACGCTTTTATTCTGAAAGGGCCTTCTCAAGAATCTTACTTTAGTCTGGATCCAGGCACGCTTTTATTCTGAAAGGGCCTCCTCAAGAATCTTACTTTAGTCTGGATCCAGGCACACTTTTATTCTGAAAGGGCCTTCTCAAGAATCTTACTTTAGTCTGGGTCCAGGCACACTTTTATTCTGAAAGGGCCTTCTCAAGAATCTTACTTTAGTCTGGGTCCAGGCACACTTTTATTCTGAAAGGGCCTGTTTTTATTTCTCCCTGGCTGGTTTGGGACAACAAAATTCCCGTAGGGATGATGAAGGAATCTAAAAGTGGACAGATCAAATGTATTTCAGAATAAAGTTGCGATCAGCTGTTGGAAACAAAATGATTACAACCTGATTGATTCTATTTTAAAGTGACAAAGTCATTTATTGAAGAAAATGTACTTTTTTAACTAAAACATCATTTTAACACTTTATTTTGAAGTTTCGATGGAAGTTCTTCCTGATCTGAGTGTTCTCCTTCTCTCTGGCGCCACCAGGTGGAATCCTGATGTACGGCGCTCTGGTTCTGTTCGAGTCGGAGTTCGTGCACGTGGTGGCCATCTCCTTTACGGCGTTGGTCCTCACCGAGCTGCTGATGGTGGCGTTGACCATCCGGACCTGGCACTGGCTCATGGTTCTGGCCGAGTTCTTCAGTTTGGGTTGCTACCTCGCCTCGCTCGCCTTCCTCAACGAGTACTTCGGTAAGCGTGGAGCTCCTGCCGGTTCTCTGCTGCTGCAGGGGGAACCTGAGACCCGAGAACCGTTTCACATCAAAGCTGAAGGAATTCAGAAGAACCGGCTCAGTCATGAGTCCTGGAGGACGTTAAAGAGCAGAACCGGGTTCCTCTGGGCCGAACGCAACAGAACCGGGTTCCTCTGGGCCGAACGCAACAGAACCGTAACAAGAACATGAATCTCATGATGAACGATAAACACAGCTCAGCTCGGCCTTTTAGTCCAGATGGGCTGGTTCTGGGGGGGGGGTCATGACCTCTGCAGAGAACCTTCAGACTTTCCTTAGGTGGTTCTGGTGAAGCTTGACCGGTTCTGGTAAAGGTTCTGGTGAAGCCTGACTGGTTCTGGTGAAGCCCAAACGGTTCTGGTGAAGCCTGACTGGTTCTGGTGAAGCCCAAACGGTTCTGGTGAAGACCGGCCGGTTCTGGTGAAGCCTGACTGGTTCTGGTGAAGCCCAAACGGTTCTGGTGAAGCCTGACCGGTTCTGGTGAAGCCCAAACGGTTCTGGTGAAGCCCAAACGGTTCTGGTGAAGCCTGACTGGTTCTGGTGAAGCCCAAACGGTTCTGGTGAAGACCGGCCGGTTCTGGTGAAGCCTGACTGGTTCTGGTGAAGCCCAAACGGTTCTGGTGAAGCCTGACCGGTTCTGGTGAAGCCCAAACGGTTCTGGTGAAGCCCGACCGGTTCTGGTGAAGCCTGACTGGTTCTGGTGAAGCCCAAACGGTTCTGGTGAAGACCGGCCGGTTCTGGTGAAGGTTCTGGTGAAGCCCGACCGGTTCTGGTGAAGGTTCTGGTTGAGCCCGACCGGTTCTGGTGAAGGTTCTGGTTGAGCCCGACCGGTTCTGGTGAAGCCTGACTGGTTCTGGTGAAGCCCAAACGGTTCTGGTGAAGCCTGACTGGTTCTGGTGAAGCCCAAACGGTTCTGGTGAAGCCCGACCGGTTCTGGTGAAGCCTGACTGGTTCTGGTGAAGCCCAAACGGTTCTGGTGAAGCCTGACTGGTTCTGGTGAAGCCCAAACGGTTCTGGTGAAGACCGGCCGGTTCTGGTTAAGCCCGACCGGTTCTGGTGAAGGTTCTGGTGAAGCCCGACCGGTTCTGGTGAAGGTTCTGGTTGAGCCCGACCGGTTCTGGTTGAGCCTTCTTCTCTTCTGTGACCTTTGGTTCCGGGGTCACCTTTCTCTTCTCTACACCTGACTCCTCTTTCCTCTCTCCCGGTTCTCTCCTCCTCCTGATGTTCCGGACAGGGATCGGCCGGGTGTCGCCGGGAGCGTTCCTCGGTACGTTCTGGGTCCGTCCTCTCTGTTGGTTCTGCCCTGTTCTCCATCGTCTGGTGTTTCTGTTGTGATTGGACCGGTTCCAGAACCAGAAACGGTCTGACCGGGTTCTGTTTGCTCCTCAGACTTGACCTTCATCACCACGTGGCCGTTCCTGTGGAAGGTGTCGGCCATCACCCTCGTCAGCTGTCTTCCTCTCTACATCCTCAAGTACCTGAAGCGCAAGTTCTCCCCCCCGAGCTACTCCAAGCTGTCCACCTGATCCCGACGGGTGGGTTCTGACCCTGACCCGTGCAAGTCGAGGTAACGGTGCATCAGTCGTAAACTAACCGGGTCGGGTTCTGACCCAGACGGGTCGGTTCGGGTCGTCTGCCTTCTCTCAAACTCATTTTTGTACCGTCTGGATTTGACGTTCACGAGGTTTTTTAGGTGTTTTTTATAAAACGTTTTTCCTGGACGATTGAAACCCGACGAGCACCAAACCAGAACCAGCGCGATCGGATCAGCAGCTCTGGTGACCTCTGACCTCTGACGCCTGCTTCCTGGCAGCTCGCTTCTGGACCTGAGACTCGTCTGCTTTCTACTCCTGAGGACGAATGAGTTTTATCATTCGCTCCTTTTACATGGAAAACCGCCACGGATGCTCTGGGACGAGAAAGGGGCGGGGCTTTTCTTCTGCATCGCTCCAGAAATCTTCTGATCACATTGCTGGAAGACGAGAATGTAAAGATTTCCTGATTCTCCGATGGGAACGATGCGTCTGAGACGTGAAATGTTGTTTTTGTACTTTCCTAAGCTGGGATGATGTTTCCTGTGGAATTCCGTGTTGGTGTGAAGTTTTGTGTATTCTGGCTTTCCTAACAGTGTTATTTATGGGATGGTGGTGAATAAAAACAGCTGTGATGAATGAGTGAATGAACGTATTTGTGCTGAGCTTCACCGTTTGGCCTCTAGGTGGAGACAGAGACGGATCCGGATTTAGTCAGAATAAAAATCCAAGATGAGTTTTTAGTGTTGAGCTACTTTTATTTTATCAAAGGAAGAAAAATTCCATCAGATCCCAAATTAGGAAAATGAAACCTGAAGAAACCTGGAGTCACAAATGAAACCCTGATCCCGTTCTGATGGGCTCCACAGATATTCCTGAACAACACTGGCTCCTTTGGGAAAGTGGAGTGTTTTCTGCTCCGGAGCATACAGGCGTGTGTTAACACACTGATGCTGCCCTTCAATCTCGGAAAGGTCAAAGGTCATTCTCAAACTAGCGATTTTCACTAGTGAAAACCATTTAGGACATCCTGTCTTCCCAGGAGTGGACGTCCCAGCAGAGTCACCCAGAGGTCGAAGGTCACGGCCGGACTGTCACTCCCTCTGGTAAAAACGAAGCACCAGGGTTTGTGGTGGTGATCACCCATAATGCACTGCTGCACCCACTCCCGGACCGATTCTGCTTTTAAGGCCGATACCGATTTCTGATTCTTGTTAATTATAAATAACGGGATAAAATTTCAGTCCCTGGAGGTGAAAACTTCCCGTTAGTCCCTGCGGGAGGTTCCGTTTCTGTCCGTGGACTTTTATAGAAACAACGTGATTCCTGCTTATTTTTATGTTTGGTGACATTTTAGATGAAGACGAAACCGTTGATCTCAGGATTTCTGAGACGACGTTCCCCGTTCTCTAATCAGACGGTTCTGAGGAACGATCTGTTATCAATTTGTTCCCATGGAGCAGGATGTGATGGTCCGATGGCTTCTGGATGTTCCTGACCGGACCAGACAGGAACTCCCTGGATTATTATTCCTGGTTTTGGAGAGGATGTGAGCTGGATTATTCAGGATTTTAGAGGATCAGAAACGTTTGGATGCAGCTGAAGTCGGAGTGTGTTTTTGACTGTTGGATTAAACGACGGGATGTTTAGTCTCGGCTGGAGCTGAGAGAGTCTCTAATCTAATCTGACGGTGCGCTGAACCAAACCCTTCTCCACCAAGCAGGATCTCATCTGTCCCAGAAGTGGGAGAAGCTTCAGGCGCGGGAGCGTTTGTCACATTTACTTCAGCGTTTTGTTTTTACTCTGGAAGCGGAGACCTGCCATTATGCCATTATACTATCCGGTTACGGCTCAGTCGGAGCGGCTGAGTGGCTTCGGAAGCCCAGCTCGCTCCGACTCAGCTGCTTATAAAATTCCGCAGCAGCCGGTTTGTATCAAGGAGATAAAGTTACTGTCGGAGATGTTTGCTGAGCGGCTGCAGGAGGTCGCCGAGTTCAAAAGAAAAAGTTAAAATAAGTTAGTTTTTAGGATTTTCCCTCTGCTTATCCGAGCTTGGACTGATCCAGAAGGAGTCCCAGACCTCCTGCCCAGAGAAACTCTAGTTCCTCCTGGAGGATCCCTAAAGCGGAACTCATCTCAAATTCCTGGATCAGAAGTTCCTGTAAAATCTCTGGAAGAACTGCGATCCAAACCCGTACCATCAGGACCTCCATCACAGAGCCGGGCTTTTGCCACGTGGCTTCGGTTTGGTTAACCAGAGTCTGGACTTCTGATCCATGTTCACATTGTGGTTCTGGGTCATCACAGGTGAAGTTCAGAGAAGCTAGTGAAGGTGAAGGTTGTCGATCATCCAGGTCTCGGCTCTCGTAGTCGGTTCTGAACAAAAGGAACAGGATTTTTTGGAGGCGTTTTTAAAACGTTTTGCACCTAAAGAGTTCCGAGTAGCGAGCTCCATTAATAGGAGCTAGCTTAGGAATCCAGCCCATGTCTCCTCAGGAGGCTTGTTATGCTTCCTTTCCCTGAGTGGAATGGTCTGGGTTGGAGACGATCCCTAGCCGTACCACTCCACAGTCTTATGGACCTACGACAGAAGGGGCCCACGAACAGCACGGGGGAAAAAAGCATCCCAACCCCGCCTCCAACCTGTCCTGGAGCCCTCCATGGTACCACAGCTCCATCCTGGTCCACCTGAGAACGGTGTTGGTCACATTCCTGAAGGTTTGTTTTCCCATTAAAATGTCCGAACATCAGTACCTGCAAGATTAAAGTTCTTGTGGAATAGAGTCTGGACCTGGACCTGGACCTGGACTTGTCTCTTCTGAGCTGTGACATAATTCACTTGTTATTGAAACTGCATTAATAAAGTTCAGACGACCTAAACCTTCCTGTGGGTTTAGTTACTTTAACCTTCCTGTGGGTTTAGTTAATTTAACCTTCCTGTGGGTTTAGTTACTTTAACCTTCCTGTGGGTTTAGTTACATTAACCTTCCTGTGGGTTTAGTTACTTTAACCTTCCTGTGGGTTTAGTTACTTTAACCTTCCTGTGGGTTTAGTTACTTTAACCTTCCTGTGGGTTTAGTTAATTTAACCTTCCTGTGGGTTTAGTTACTTTAACCTTCCTGTGGGTTTAGTTACATTAACCTTCCTGTGGGTTTAGTTACTTTAACCTTCCTGTGGGTTTAGTTAATTTAACCTTCCTGTGGGTTTAGTTAATTTAACCTTCCTGTGGGTTTAGTTACTTTAACCTTCCTGTGGGTTTAGTTAATTTAACCTTCCTGTGGGTTTAGTTAATTTAACCTTCCTGTGGGTTTAGTTAATTTAACCTTCCTGTGGGTTTAGTTACTTTAACCTTCCTGTGGGTTTAGTTACTTTAACCTTCCTGTGGGTTTAGTTACTTTAACCTTCCTGTGGGTTTAGTTAATTTAACCTTCCTGTGGGTTTAGTTAATTTAACCTTCCTGTGGGTTTAGTTACTTTAACCTTCCTGTGGGTTTAGTTACTTTAACCTTCCTGTGGGTTTAGTTAATTTAACCTTCCTGTGGGTTTAGTTAATTTAACCTTCCTGTGGGTTTAGTTACTTTAACCTTCCTGTGGGTTTAGTTAATTTAACCTTCCTGTGGGTTTAGTTAATTTAACCTTCCTGTGGGTTTAGTTACTTTAACCTTCCTGTGGGTTTAGTTACTTTAACCTTCCTGTGGGTTTAGTTACTTTAACCTTCCTGTGGGTTTAGTTAATTTAACCTTCCTGTGGGTTTAGTTAATTTAACCTTCCTGTGGGTTTAGTTACTTTAACCTTCCTGTGGGTTTAGTTACTTTAACCTTCCTTTGGGTTTAGATACTTTAACCTTCCTGTGGGTTTAGTTACTTTAACCTTCCTGTGGGTTTAGTTAATTTAACCTTCCTGTGGGTTTAGTTACTTTAACCTTCCTGTGGGTTTAGTTAATTTAACCTTCCTGTGGGTTTAGTTAATTTAACCTTCCTGTGGGTTTAGTTACTTTAACCTTCCTGTGGGTTTAGTTAATTTAACCTTCCTGTGGGTTTAGTTACTTTAATCATCTTGTGGGTTTAGTTACTTTAACCTTCCTGTGGGTTTAGTTACTTTAACCTTCCTGTGGGTTTAGTTACTTTAACCATCCTGTGGGTCTAGTTACTTTAACCTTCCTGTGGGTTTAGTTACTTTAACCTTCCTGTGGGTTTAGTTACTTTAACCTTCCTTTGGGTTTAGTTACTTTAACCTTCCTGTGGGTTTAGTTGCTTTAACTATCCAGTGGGTTTAGTTACTTTAACCTTCCTGTGGGTTTAGTTACTTTAACCTTCCTGTGGGTTTAGATACTTTAACCATCCTGTGGGTTTAGTTACTTTAACCTTCCTGTGGGTTTAGTTAATTTAACCTTCCTGTGGGTTTAGTTAATTTAACCTTCCTGTGGGTTTAGTTACTTTAACCTTCCTGTGGGTTTAGTTAATTTAACCTTCCTGTGGGTTTAGTTACTTTAATCATCTTGTGGGTTTAGTTACTTTAACCTTCCTGTGGGTTTAGTTACTTTAACCTTCCTGTGGGTTTAGTTACTTTAACCATCCTGTGGGTCTAGTTACTTTAACCTTCCTGTGGGTTTAGTTACTTTAACCTTCCTGTGGGTTTAGTTACTTTAACCTTCCTTTGGGTTTAGTTACTTTAACCTTCCTGTGGGTTTAGTTGCTTTAACTATCCAGTGGGTTTAGTTACTTTAACCTTCCTGTGGGTTTAGTTACTTTAACCTTCCTGTGGGTTTAGATACTTTAACCATCCTGTGGGTTTAGTTACTTTAACCATCCTGTGGGTTTAGTTACTTTAACCTTCCTGTGGGTTTAGTTACTTTAACCTTCCTGTGGGTTTAGTTACTTTAACCATCCTGTGGGTTTAGTTACTTTAACCTTTCTGTGGGTTTAGTTACTTTAACCATCCTGTGGGTTTAGTTACTTTAACCTTCCTGTGGGTTTAGATACTTTAACCATCCTGTGGGTTTAGTTACTTTAACCTTCCTGTGGGTTTAGTTACTTTAACCTTCCTGTGGGATTAGTTACTTTAACCTTCCTGTGGGATTAGTTACTTTAACCTTCCTGTGGGTTTAGTTACTTTAACCATCCTGTGGGTTTAGTTACTTTAACCATCCTGTGGGTTTAGTTACTTTAACCTTCCTGTGGGTTTAGTTACTTTAACCTTCCTTACTTTAACCTTCCTGTGGGTTTAGTTACTTTAACCTTCCTTACTTTAACCATCCTGTGGGTTTAGTTACTTTAACCTTCCTTACTTTAACCATCCTGTGGGTTTAGTTACTTTAACCTTCCTTACTTTAACCATCCTGTGGGTTTAGTTACTTTAACCTTCCTGTGGGTTTAGTTACTTTAACCATCCTGTGGGTTTAGTTACTTTAACCATCCTGTGGGTTTAGTTACTTTAACCTTCCTGTGGGTTTAGTTACTTTAACCTTCCTTACTTTAACCATCCTGTGGGTTTAGTTACTTTAACCATCCTGTGGGTTTAGTTACTTTAACCTTCCTGTGGGTTTAGTTACTTTAACCTTCCTTACTTTAACCATCCTGTGGGTTTAGCTACTTTAACCTTCCTGTGGATTTAGTTACTTTAACCTTCCTGTGGGTTTAGTTACTTTAACCATCCTGTGGGTTTAGTTACTTTAACCTTCCTGTGGGTTTAGTTAGTTTTTGAACCTTTATTGTGGGTTTAGTAACTTTTTGAACCTTTACCGTGGGTTTAGTTACTTTTTAAACCTTTATTGTGGGTTTAGTTACTTTTGAAACCTTTACTGTGGGTTTAGTTACTTTTTTAACCATCCTGTGGGTTTAGTTACTTTTTGAACCGTTACTGCTGGTTTAGTTACTTTTTGAACCTTTACTGTGGGTTTAGTTACATGTTTTACCTTTACTATGGGTTTAGTTACTTTTTGAACCTTTACTGTGGGTTTAGTTACTTTTTGAACCTTTACTGTGGGTTTAGTTACTTTAACCTTCCTGTGGGTTTAGAGCACTTTAACCTTCCTGTGGGTTTAGTTACTTTAACCTTCCTGTGGGTATAGTTACTTTAACCATCCAGTGGGTTTAGTTACTTTAACCTTCCTGTGGGTTTAGTTACTTTAACCTTCCTGTGGGTTTAGATACTTTAACCATCCTGTGGGTTTAGTTACTTTAACCATCCTGTGGGTTTAGTTACTTTAACCTTCCTGTGGGTTTAGTTACTTTAACCTTCCTGTGGGTTTAGTTACTTTAACCATCCTGTGGGTTTAGTTACTTTAACCTTTCTGTGGGTTTAGTTACTTTAACCATCCTGTGGGTTTAGTTACTTTAACCTTCCTGTGGGTTTAGATACTTTAACCATCCTGTGGGTTTAGTTACTTTAACCTTCCTGTGGGTTTAGTTACTTTAACCTTCCTGTGGGATTAGTTACTTTAACCTTCCTGTGGGATTAGTTACTTTAACCTTCCTGTGGGTTTAGTTACTTTAACCATCCTGTGGGTTTAGTTACTTTAACCATCCTGTGGGTTTAGTTACTTTAACCTTCCTGTGGGTTTAGTTACTTTAACCTTCCTTACTTTAACCTTCCTGTGGGTTTAGTTACTTTAACCTTCCTTACTTTAACCATCCTGTGGGTTTAGTTACTTTAACCTTCCTTACTTTAACCATCCTGTGGGTTTAGTTACTTTAACCTTCCTTACTTTAACCATCCTGTGGGTTTAGTTACTTTAACCTTCCTGTGGGTTTAGTTACTTTAACCATCCTGTGGGTTTAGTTACTTTAACCATCCTGTGGGTTTAGTTACTTTAACCTTCCTGTGGGTTTAGTTACTTTAACCTTCCTTACTTTAACCATCCTGTGGGTTTAGTTACTTTAACCATCCTGTGGGTTTAGTTACTTTAACCTTCCTGTGGGTTTAGTTACTTTAACCTTCCTTACTTTAACCATCCTGTGGGTTTAGCTACTTTAACCTTCCTGTGGATTTAGTTACTTTAACCTTCCTGTGGGTTTAGTTACTTTAACCATCCTGTGGGTTTAGTTACTTTAACCTTCCTGTGGGTTTAGTTAGTTTTTGAACCTTTATTGTGGGTTTAGTAACTTTTTGAACCTTTACCGTGGGTTTAGTTACTTTTTAAACCTTTATTGTGGGTTTAGTTACTTTTGAAACCTTTACTGTGGGTTTAGTTACTTTTTTAACCATCCTGTGGGTTTAGTTACTTTTTGAACCGTTACTGCTGGTTTAGTTACTTTTTGAACCTTTACTGTGGGTTTAGTTACATGTTTTACCTTTACTATGGGTTTAGTTACTTTTTGAACCTTTACTGTGGGTTTAGTTACTTTTTGAACCTTTACTGTGGGTTTAGTTACTTTAACCTTCCTGTGGGTTTAGAGCACTTTAACCTTCCTGTGGGTTTAGTTACTTTAACCTTCCTGTGGGTATAGTTACTTTAACCATCCTGTGGGTTTAGTTACTTTAACCTTCCTGTGGGTTTAGTTACTTTAACCTTCCTGTGGGTTTAGTTACTTGAACCATCCTGTGGGTTTAGTTACTTTAACCATCCTGTGGGTTTAGGGACTTGAACCTTCCTGTGGGTTTAGTTACTTTAACCATCCTGTGGGTTTAGTTACTTTAACCTTCCTTACTTTAACCATCCTGTGGGTTTAGTTACTTTAACCATCCTGTGGGTTTAGTTACTTTAACCTTCCTGTGGGTTTAGTTACTTTAACCATCCTGTGGGTTTAGTTACTTTAACCTTCCTTACTTTAACCATCCTGTGGGTTTAGTTACATTAACCTTCCTTACTTTAACCATCCTGTGGGTTTAGTTACTTTAACCATCCTGTGGGTTTAGTTACTTTAACCTTCTTTACTTTAACCATCCTGTGGGTTTAGTTATTTTAACCTCCCTTACTTTAACCATCCTGTGGGTTTAGCTACTTTAACCTTCCTGTGGATTTAGTTACTTTAACCTTCCTGTGGGTTTAGTTACTTTAACCTTCCTGTGGGTTTAGTTACTTTAACCTTCCTGTGGGTTTAGTTACTTGAACCTTTCTGTGGGTTTAGCTACTTGAACCTTTCTGTGGGTTTAGCTACTTGAACCTTCCTTGGGGTTTAGTTACTTTTTGACCCATCCTGTGGGTTTAGTTGCTTTAACCATCCTGTGGGTTTAGTTACTTTTTTACCATCCTGCGGGTTTAGTTACTTTAACCATCCTGTGGGTTTAGTTACTTTTTGAACCGTTACTGCTGGTTTAGTTACTTTTTGAACCTTTACTGTGGGTTTAGTTCCTTGTTGAAACTTTACTGTGGGTTTAGTTAGTTTTGAAGTTTTACAGTTTTTTTAGTTACTTTTTGAACCTTTACCCTGGGTTTAGTTACTTTTTAAACCTTTATTTTGGGTTTAGTTACTTTTTAAACCTTTACTGTGGGTTTAGTTACTTTTTTAACGATCCTGTCTGTTTAGTTACTTTTCAAACCATTACTGTGGGTTTAGTTACTTTTTGAACCTTTACTGTGGGTTTAGTTACATGTTTTACCTTTACTGTGGGTTTAGTTACTTTTTGAACCTTTACTGTCAGTTTAGTTACTTTTCTTACCTTTACTGTTTGTTTAGTTACTTTTTGAACCATTACTGTGGGTTTAGTTACTTTTTGAAACTTCACAGTTGGTTTATTTACATTTTTTACCTTTACTGTGGGTTTAGTTACTTTTTCAAGTTTTACTGTGGATTTAGTAACATTTTTTACCTTTACAGTGGATTTAGTTACTTTTTGAACCTTTACTGTGCATTTAGGTTTTTTTAAACCTTTACTGTGGATTTAGTTACATTTTTACCTTTACTGTGGGTTTAGTTACTTTATGAACATTTACTGTGGGTTTAGTTTTTGAACCTTTACTGTGGATTTAGTTACATTTTTTACCTGTACTGTGGATTTAGTAACTTTTTGAACTTATACTGTGGGTTTAATTACTTTTTGAACCTTTACTGTGGATTTAGTTACTTTTTGAACCTTTACTGTGGGTTTAGTTATTTTAGAACCTTTCCTGTGGATTTAGTTACTTTGTGAACCTTTACTGTGGATTTAGTTACTTTTTGAACCTTTACTGTGGGTTTAGTTACTTTATGAACCTTTACTGTGGGTTTAGTTAGTTTTTGAACCTTTACTGTGGATTTAGTTACATTTTTTACCTGTACTGTGGATTTAGTTACTTTTTGAACCTATACTGTGGGTTTAATTACTTTTTGAACCTTTACTGTGGATTTAGTTACTTTTTGAACCTTTGCTATGGGTTTAGTGACTTTTTGAACCTTTACTGTCGGGTTAGTTACTTTTCTTACCTTTACTGTTTGTTTAGTTACTTTTTGAACCATTACTGTGGGTTTAGTTACTTTTTGAAGCTTCACTGTGGGTTTATTTACATTTTTTACCTTTACTGTGGATTTAGTTACTTTTTGAACCTTTACTGTGGATTTAGTTACACTTTTTACCTTTACTGTGGATTTAGTTACTTTTTGAACCTTTACTGTGGGTTTTGTTACTTTTTGAACCTTTACTATGGGTTTAGTTACTTTTAGAACCTTTACTGTGGATTTAGTTACCCTTGAACCTTTACTGTGGATTTAGTTACTTTTTGAGCCTTTACTGTGGGTTTAGTTACTTTTTGAACCTTTACTGTGGGTTTAGTTACGTAATGAACCTTTACTGTGTGTTTAGTTACTTTTTGAACCTTTACTGTGGATTTAGTGACATTTTTTACCTTTACTGTGGGTTTAGTTACTTTTTGAACCTTTACTGTGGGTTTAGTTACTTTATGAACCTTTACTGTGGGTTTAGTTAGTTTTTGAACCTTTACTGTGGATTTAGTTACATTTTTTACCTGTACTGTGGATTTAGTTACTTTTTGAACCTATACTGTGGGTTTAATTACTTTTTGAACCTTTACTGTAAATTTAGTTACTTTTTGAACCTTTATTGTGGGTTTAGTTACTTTATGAACCTTTACTGTGGCTTTAGTTACTTTTTGAACCTTTTCTGTGGATTTAGTTACTTTTTGAACCTTTACTGTGGGTTTAGTTACTTTATGAACCTTTACTGTGTGTTTAGTAACTTTTTGAACCTATACTGTGGGTTTAATTACTTTTTGAACCTTTACTGTGGATTTAGTTACTTTTTGAACCTGTACTGTGGGTTTAGTTACTTTTTGAACCTTTACTGTGGGTTTAGTTACTTTTTGAACCTTTACTGTGGGTTTAGTTACTTTTTGAACCTTTACTGTGGATTTAGTTACATTTTGAACCTTTACTGTGGGGTTAGTTACTTTTTGGACCTTTACTGTGGCTTTAGTTACTTTTTGAACCTTTACTATGGGTTTAGTTACTTTTTGAACCTTTACTGTGGATTCAGTGACATTTTATACCTTTACTGTGGGTTTAGTTACTTTTTGAACCTTACTGTGGGTTTAGTTAGTTTTTTAACCTTTACTGTGGGTTTAGTTAGTTTTTGAACCTTTACTATGGATTTAGTCTCTCTCTCTCTGAGCTGTTGCTCCACTCTCCGTCTGAGGACCATCTCCCTCGGCTCTGGGGCCTCCTCCCTTACCCGTATCCATGGTGACATGCTCCACAACAGGAAACAGAGCTGGGGATTCCGTCACTAAACTGGGAACGTTGACGGCAGGCAGCAAGTCCAACCTCCCAACGGAGAAAATACGAATGAAGAGCTTTATTCCTTAAAACTATCAGAATAAAAACTGAAAAGTTGTTCTGTTTTCCAGATGACACCACATTCCTCAGACCCTGTTTCCCTCTCAGTGTGTGTGTGTGTGTGTGTGTGTGTGTGTGTGTGTGTGTGTGTTTTAATCTGCTCCTTGCGTTGACTAGTTTCTATCGTTGTTCGTGAAGCAACAGTGACAGAGGAGCTGAGGGCCCTCAGAGGGTTGCAGGTTCGAGTGCCGCTCAGTCTGCTTTAGTGCTGTTGGGCAGGACACTTCCCCCTCCTTACCTGCTGGTGGTGGTCAGAGAGCAGTGTGTTTCAGGGCAGCTGTAGCTACGATGCAGCTCACCACCACCAGTGTGTGAATGGGTGTGTTGTAAAGTGCCTTGGGGGGTTGTAGATGCAAACACAGGACGTGCCAGTGCAGTGAGCCCCTCTAACCCTGACATGTTTGTTCTGCGAGGGTCAGAAAGTTTTTACGGATGATCCTGGACCCACTAAGTTCTGGCTCTGGTTCCTGATGTGTCCACTGAGCGGCACCAGACCCAGATGTTAAAGCTACAGAATTCAGAAGCTGATTGACACCTGAGCTCAGGTGTTTACACCCCTGGCCCGGTCCGGCCTGGTTCTGGCCCAGCAGAACAAAATGAATATACAAGCAGTGGCCAGGCTCATGTCCTGTGACGGAACCTCTGATCGGGTTTCACCAGAACCATCAGGGTCTGGAACAGGGCCGGGACAAGGATAGGGACCAGTAATTCTCTGCCAGGGACCGGGTCTGGACCTGAGACCCGCAGGCAGCAGCTGGAGCTCCATGAAGGTTCTCACCTCAGAGCCAAATATCCAGGTTCTGGTGTTTGGGTCGGATGATTTTGGACTGAACCGGAAATAGAAAAAGAGTTTCAGGGACGTTAAACAAGCTGAAGGATCCCTTCAGATCAGAGGGTCTTTATGGTTCTGGAGCAGGTCCCAGTCCTACCAGGACCCACCGGATCTAACCCAGAACCAGAACTGAAACGGTGTCTGGAACCTCCGGAAGGAGTCCGGCTCCGACCCGCCCCGGGATTCCCTGATTGGCCCCTCCGCCTCAGGAGTCAGAGGATCTCCTCCGGACCCATCTGGAGGTCGGGAATGTGGATGCTGCGTCAGCGCGCGGAGGGCGGCGCGTGCGCGCCGAGGTGATCCCCGCGTTTAAAAGCGCCGCAGATCTCAGTGCGTCACAGCGACCCAGTAGAACCAGAACCGCTCCGAACAAAGCTCGTTCGAGTTTTCTCCTGCTTTGGATCCGGTTCGCTTCGTCTTGGACGGAACCGGCGGCTCGGTTCGGACCGTTCGCACCAGCTGGGAGGATTTATGGAGCGGGACTCTGTTCGGTCCATCTGAACTTTCTCTGCTCGGAGGACAACATGAAGTCTGCAGAAGAAGGTAAGTTTTATTCTTCATGTCGGTTCTGGACTCTGAACCCGGACCAGGTTCGGGTTTTTGGACTTTCTCAGTTAAAATCGGAGCTGCGGTGAGCGCGCGCTCCTCCCAGCTGATCCAACCCAGTGGGCGTGGTTCGGTATGGACTCGAATAACTCGAACCCGTTAGTTGTAAGAATGAGCTTCCGGTTCGGATGAGATAGGGCACTGATGACGTCATGATTCCATCATCACCTCCTCCTGACCTCAGGGTTCCATGTGGCCCAGCAGGAGTTCTGGTACCCCCCCCCCCCCCCCCCCCCCGACCTGTCTGCACCTCCTTGGTTTTGGTTTATGAGCTCCTGGCCCGGTTTGGGTCCAGTCCAGGATGGTGTCTCCCAGCTCCACTCTGTAAATGTTCTGACTGGCCT